GCCGCGTCTTTGAGCATCGAAATTGCGTAAGGATGGCCCGCTTAAGCACAATGTCGAGTCTTTGTAGACATGGTCCGCTTAAGGCCCAAACCTGCGTCTTTGAGCGCCGAAATTGCGTAAACATGGCCCGCTTAAGCCCAAAACCCCGTCTTTGAGCATGAAAAGTGCCGCCCGCTTTGACCAGCAAAAGATAGCGCAAACAAAGTTCAACATCAAAACTAGTTAAATATCAAGGGGTCAAATGCTCATGATGTTGTTTTTCTACATGGCCCGTGGCGCAGCGTGCTTGGAGTGGGAGAGTTGGATTTGTCATGCTTTCCTTGACAGGATTGTGCCAATGTAAAGGTTGAAAGGTTCCCTGATTTAGACTCAATGACATCTGACTAAATTTTACATTTCTACCTTTGCGCCTGCGTTCTGCGTGCAACCCTGATCTCTTTGCTTTGTCTGCAAAGACTCAGCTCGCCGAAAGTAGTCATCAAGCTGCTGGGTGACACTTTGTGTCTGGCTTCTCAAGGCACCATCCAGGTGGGCCATTCCGGACTGAAAGGATTGGATCGCCTCTTCTTGTTGCTTTTGCAGCCCTTGGATGTGACTCTCATTCTGCTGAACTTGACGTTGCAAATTTAATAAACTGATCCAAACGCTGCGTCAAGGCAATCTGCGACTGCTCCAGTGCTTTGGTCTTTTGATCAAAGGCTCCAGTAAACTGTTTGGGTAAAAGCACCTGTTGGGCTGTGGGGTTTGGTGGCCCGTCCATAGCGCGAATCGCTTTTCGGTGGGTTCCCGTAGCGCAGATTGCTCGTTGGTGGCTTTCCTGTCGCACAAACTGCTATTTGCCTTCCTGATGGTCGGGGAACAAATGGGCACCTCTGGTGGTGCCAAGGTTCCGCATCGGGTCAAAGAAAGGGTGTTTCCGAAGAGCGGGTTAGTGAGAAGGCCGCGGGGCACGGCAACAAGGATTTGCCGATGCAGGAACATGTTTTTCTGGGCTGGTGCCTTTTCGCGGTGTTTTTGAAGGCCGTCTCAAGGCCAAAAAGGGCACCTCTGAGCCAGCGGGTTCCAGCGCGAGGTTTCCCGGAAAAAAGCCTTAAGGATGAGTTCTTAGAAGGTGCCTTTAATTCCGTTTTTTGTTGGTTGTCTGAAAGCAAAAAGGGCGCCTTTCTTTTTCCCGCGGGCTCTGGCAATAAGACCCTTGACAAAGCAAGACACGGCAGATGCATTTTCGAGCATTTTGAACGAACATTGGACACTCTGACGCTTGTGGGAACTTCTTGAGTCAAGCGCATTGCTCTCAGCCTGCGAGGGTTGGTTTTCGCCCCTGGCCGATCAATCTCAGTTTTTACCGACCGGGGAGGACAGTTTTTGGAGTTTTGCAGGAAAACATGGAGAAGCCTCTACCTTGCTTCAAGGGCTACAGCCCTCGAAGTTTGCTGTCCTTGCTTGATCTCCGCTTCGACACTGGCTATCCTGTCGGGGACCTCACCACACGAGTGGAGGACGCTATTTTTTTGTTTGTTTGTTTGCACGCGTGCAATTCATTTGTGAATGCTTTGTGTTTTGGATGAACTATGATGAACTCCAGGATCCGTACTTTGATGTGAAGGCTCATGCAGTGGACGCAACTTGTGCATTTGCGTCGCGCGGCGTTTGACATAAACACTGCTCTCCAGCCTTCCTTCACTCGTGTGTTGTGATCCAAGGTTTGGCATCCAATACTTGATGCGGCAGGGTCACACAGTGCAGCAGATTCAGAGGAGGGATCCCGACGTATACCGAAAATTTTCCGAGTACCTCCGAACGGAGTTGGACTTCCAAGGGGCGCCTCGGAGAAAAAGACACACCCAGATTCAAAGCATGATAAATCGTGAAATTTGATCGATTTGGACTCCGAGCAGTCTGCAACTGCAACATCGTTCCATCTTTGAGGCTTCTGGGCAAGTGAAGTTTGAAGGAAATGACAGGAAGAACTTGCAAGTGGTTCAGCAAGTGATCGATGGTGTCAGCGTGGAGGCCAATTGGCCGCTTTAAACCCGAGCACAAACTGAGCATCAGTTTCACGCAGTTTGGGAGCTCTGCAGGTGGGCATGATCAATGAGAATGGCACCACTATCACATGGTTTGCAAACGGAACTACTGGACGTTTCTGGCAGGTCCGGCTAAAAGTTGCATTCAGTTCTTAACATTTTGCGGATTTCTCAAGTGTCCACCGTTCCATGAATGTCAGTTCTAGTACAGGTTGCGTACACATCAGCAGTGCGTCTCTTTTTTTGCAGATTGTTAGATGTTTTTCTTCGGTTCGTCCAGGAAGAGCCTGCCGAAACCTTTGAGCTGATGTGGATCCTCCATCCCATAGCGTTGACTCTTGGAGCGTCGATGCGGACCGACGTTGCACGTTTCTTTGACACCTGGAGTGACCAAGGACATTGGCAATTTGCTGCCCATGTCTTTTGGGATGCTGGATCGGCTACCGCATTCGAGCAGCCATGAACTCGCAGAGCAATGCTGCCCAACAGTAATGGAGGAGTTGAAGATGGCGGAATGCATGCAAAACGTGCAACCCGGTACATAACGGACATAACGCGTGAGCACGAACATATGCACAAACCATGCTGTGCGAGGACAGATCACAATCCTTGAAGGGGAATTATCACATTTTTGGTCTTCCAGCCGCCCATCGCTTTGGATTCTCAAAGACAGAGCAGAGCTGGGTCACAAGTGCCACGTGAGACTGCCAAGGGAACACTCAACACGCCGATTCCTTTGGTTAATGTCCAGTTTTCGATCCATGCCACTGAAAGTTGGCTACAAATGCTGCTTTGCCATGGCTGGGTTGGCGTCAGTCGTTATTCCAAAGTCAACGTCACGACTTGTGACCTGATCAACCCAGTAACCTACTAGCAAGACAGCAAGAATGCTCGATATCACAATCGAGTGAGCGTTTGTTTCATTGTGTACTGTTCAATATTGCGAAGCAATTTGAGCATTGTTAGATGGTCATTTCATGTCATGTTTGCCTCCCTCGAAGTCGCAAAGGTCCAATTTTCTGATGTTGGGGACTAAGACATGAGTGACCCGCCCCGCCAAACATCCAATGCCTTTTTGACCATCAGTCATGTTTGACCATCCTTTTTGTTGAGCATGAATTCAGTCAAGACCAAGAAAAGGCAAGACCTAGCGTGGAGCTGCATCTCGCAAGAAAAGAGCCAGTGACTATGAACTTCGCACCAATAATTGCTTGCGAACACATGTTTGAATCCCCCACATGCCCTTCGGCTTTGCCGGTTACCAGGGTATTGAAGTGAAGGTATAAACTATGAACTGCTATAAACTGCCGAGGCCATCGTTGGTAGGCCTCCATCACGTTCGCTGAATTCACCGACGGATGGCAATGTTCAAGAAAGAACTGTGACTCACGGGTTGCTGTCATAGACTGTCGGACTGGTCAGGCATTGTATTGTGTGTGATGCCCTGCAGCAGAGGTCACGATAGGGTGGGATGTCTACTTCAAAATCTAGCTACCCCAGCCCAAAACGATCATAGGAACAGAAGACATTGTAGCAACGTGTTCTACCAAGGGATGCTCACCAACATCGTTCCGCAGTTGTGACCTTTGCACACATCACTTTGGCCCAAACCCCGTGTTTGTGCGTGGTGCACGATGCTGTGAGTCGTGCGAAGAGCAGCTGCTCGCAGGTATGATGGTAAAAACCATGCATTTGCATCCAATGTGAAGAAGAGAATTGACCTTAAACAGCGTATGGTTCGTCGCGGCACTGAGACCATGCAGCACACATCTAGACAGCAAACTCAGAAAACAGTGCTTTTCTTTGATTCTTTTGGAACAAATGAAAAGAACATGGTGCGTGAATCGCCCGCAGCTGCGATGGGGATTCCAGAGCTGCTGTGGTCTCGAGGAATCGCCCGCAGCTGCGATGTCTTCCCAAGCCACTTCTGGATCAATGAGAAAGGCTGCAACGCGGAACCACTTGTTCCACTACTTGTTCCACTTTGGTTGCAAGTTCCATGCTATACATGTTGTCTTTGGAAAGAGGCAGGTCTCGTGGTCTCCTGTAGGCCATGAGGTGGGAGATGTCAACTGGAGTTCCGTAGAGTTGGAGGAGCAGATTGTCTATGTGAGCCGGGGCGAGTTGCACAGAAAAGAGTGAACATTGAATGCACAGAGGCATGCGCCAGCAGATGCCTTGCAGGTACCCTCCATGGACATGGTTGAGTTCATGCCACGTCCCTTGTCGTTGGAGTTGGAGCGCCGAAACAACGAAGCAAAAAAAGAGAACGGTCCAAAGGAACATGAAGAGAGAAAAGTCGGAGAAAACAGGAAGTAAATGAGATAAAGGGAAAACACATGAAAGGTATTGAAAGGCTCCCGTACACTCCAACTCCGCTTTGGGTTGTGCGAGTGGTGCCAGGCTTCAACGCGGCACCTCCCTCGGCCCGGATCACCCTGGTGACGGGGCAAGAGGCACTGCCTTAGATCGAAAAAGCAGACATTGGCACTGTACGGATCCAAAACAAACATGTTGTGAAGAAGCTACTAGTAGCAAAGGGCCTTACTACTAGGAGCAAGAAGCTATGAGTAGCTTGTGGCCCTAC